ACAACGTACACAACGTTTTAAATCAAGCTATAATATGTAACTGATACAACGTTTTAAACAAAGCTATAATATGTAACTGATACAACGTTTTAAACAAAGCTATAATATGTAACTGATACAACGTTTTAAACAAAGCTATAATATGTAACTGATACAACATTTTAAACAAAGCTATAATATGTAACTGATACAACGTTGTAAACAAAGCTATAATATGTAACTGATACAACGTTTTAAACAAAGCTTTAATATGTAACTGATACAACGTACACAACGTTTTAAACCAAGCTACAATATGTAACTGATACAACGTTTCAAACGAAGCTATAATATGTAACTGATACAACGTTTTAAACCAAGCTATAATATGTAACTGATACAACGTTTTAAACAAAGCTACAATATTTAACTTATTATAAGCTACTTTGTTAGAGACTTAGAAATAAGTTTTCGACCAATACAGTATACAGATTCTTTAAAATGAATCAGGACAAGCCATGCAAGTTTAAACAACACAGGTGTAACGTGATTCCCGGGAAATTCCGTCAGTGGATTTTAGAAAGATCTAGATAAGCCTTATTGCAGTGACAGACATGTAATATAATTTTGGCTCTAAAATCATTAGGATCGTCATAGAATATCGTATTTATATTCTTGTCCAGGTTTCATTATTTGTGGTTTCTTTATCAACTTTATAACTCAAAAGGAAAACTCGCGTGTTCCAAGAAACTACAGAATCTCTATTAGTAAATTTAACTTAATTTTTATGGTATCTAATATCTTGTAAACACAAACCTCAGTTCATTTCATTTTAACTGAGCAGGTGTTTCTCTTAATTTCCAAAGTTAGTCTTACCGTGCACGTCAACTTCAACCCATTTCACCATTTCTTCTTCAACTGTGTCGTGTTTTACGTGACACCCAAGTCTGGCACCCAGGTCGCTCCTGGAAAGAACGAATCGAATAGAAGACGTCACATTACTGGTCCCCAGTTCGTCGTCCGCGATGCTTCCCCTGGACAGCAGACTTTCGCTTCCATTCGACCACGTGACTTCCGGTGAAGGTTTTCCTCCAGTTGTCTTACACTCAAGTGACAAAGTTGTTCCTTCGAGGAAAGGACCAATCGTTGAAGCATGTTTCAGTATTTCTCCATCCTTACTTATTATTGGAGGGCTTGGTTTCACTGAAATAATGGACGAATTAAAAAAATAGTTCCTTTACTCATGACCGCACTACCTTGTTATCCCAATTGTGTACTTCGGTCGTAATATAGCTTTTAATAAAAAGAAACTTGTTATCCCATTATTAAAAGCTATATTACGACCGAAGTACACAATAAAGAACCTTGTTATCCCATTATTAAAAGCTATATTACGACCGAAGTACACAATAATGTAATATAAAATTTTTGTTTTCAATTTTTTTTCAAAATCCGCCTTATTTTGATAAGATTAAGAAACTTGTTATCCCATTATTAAAAGCTATATTACGACCGAAGTACACAATAAAAACCTTGTTATGCCATTATTAAAAGCTATATTACGACCGAAGTACACAATAATGTAATATAAAATTTTGGTTTTCAATTTTTTTTCAAAATCCGCCTTATTTTGATAAGATTAAGTCAAAGTTTATATAGCAACAGGTTCCAGGATGTATCATTTTACGTTCTTGGAATAGTAAAATCCGGGGTTCGATTCCCCGCAGTGTTCAGAGCGCAGATACCTCGTTGTGTAGCTTTGTGCTAAAATTACAACAACAACATATAGCAACAACTACGTTATTATGAGGGCTGCCGCGTTGTGGTAATTAATTATCGACTCTAGATACTATCCAGTAGATGTTTCCACGTGCGATGACGTATTCTAGCCCCGCCGTATGGAAGCAAAAGCTGGTTAACAAAGAGCAAGACTGCCTCCATCTGATAATTGTACTGACGGTGACTTCGAATTGTACAAGGTGAGCATTGCAAGGACACTAATGATATGTAGAAAATACTGAAGACGAGACATTAACGACGAAGGAAAAACACTGGTAAAAATATTGGACGTTCTGAAAATACACGTTGTTCCGATCTTACTTGATATACATGCTTTGTGGAGACAGCAACGTTGTAGAGTTCGTTTGTTTGTAGTTAAGCGTACACTGGAACATTTAATACACGTTGTTCCGATCTTACTTGATATACATGCTTTGTGGAGACAGCAAAGTTAGAGAGTTCGTTTGTTTGTAGTTCAGCGCACACTGGAACATTTAATACACGTTGTTCCAATCTTACTTGATATGCATACTTTGTGGAGACAGCAACGTTGTAGAGAGTTCGTTTGTTTGTAGTTAAGCGCACAATGGAACATTTAATACACGTTGTTCCGATCCTACTCGGTATGCATGCTTTGTGGAGACAGCAACGTTGTAGAGAGTTCGTTTGTTTGTAGTTCAGCGCACAATGGAACATTTGTGCCGTACTCACTACAAGTATCAAAATGTAGAGTTCGAACTAAATCAAACTATTTACACTTGCTTTAATTGAAAGTGACATCACTTCAGGAGCTATTAACGTCGATGCAGATAGAGATGTGGCTAGAATACGTCACAACTAAGCTCTGCTCTTCCAACAAGCTGATTTTAAATTAATTTATAGGATTAGTACTTCGTTTTATACTATATGCAAGAGCACATCAATAATGATATTTGAATTATATACTTTTCAATTTTTTTTAAGGAGCCTTTCCAAAATACTAAATGATCCAACGTCAACTAATCACGTGACATAATCCAGAAACTGTAAAATTTGGTTTATTAAAAAATATTTGACTTCGTCGTTTTAAAAAACTAATCATTACTTAGTTACAAAAAAATATCTCTATAGAGACGACAATATTATGTTTTCCATTCATCATTACTTAGTTACAAAAAAATATCTCTATAGAGACGACAATATTATGTTTTCCATTCATCATTACTTAGTTACAAAAAAAATATCTCTATAGAGACGACAATATTATGTTTTCCATTCATCATTACTTAGTTACAAAAAAAATATCTCTATAGAGACGACAATATTATGTTTTGCATTCAAATTATTTCAGTAAAACAAATGTGTCTCGTTGGAACAGCGATAAATTTACGGACTTACAACGCTAGAATACGAGTTTCGATTCCATTCTGTGAGCACAGAAGACAGCCAGTGGCTCAGCGGTAAGTCTGAATGTTTATAACGCTAAAAATCGAGTTTCGATATCCGCTGTGGACACAGCACAGATAACCTATTATGTAGTTTTACACTTAACAACCAACAAATATTATCCCATTATGTTCCTAACAATGATCGTTCTTATTGAAACTAAGTTAAAATGTATTTCTTTGTATAATGTTTTCTTTCCATGAGAGGCAGTTCGTATTATATAATGTACTAAATTGAGTGTTAAAGTTGGTTTGATATAATATCTTCCTTTGATAATTGTCATTGAAAATGCTTAAAATAAAAATGTTTTCGCCCACGTGTAGTTAAAAATTGAAACAAAAAAAGTCTCTGTTTTTGATAATAATCTTTTGAAAACCTAATTAAATTTGTTGTTTTTTCTTTTCCCAATAACTCTGTGCTTTACATGGAAGTGATTGTACAGGAGACGTGTTTTAATGATTAAATTCAGTTATCATGACGGAAGATTTTAACAATCGATTCAGTTCGAACAACTACATAAAAATACCTAAACTCGTTAGATTTTATCAACACGAGTAAAGCGCCAGTAAATCATCAGTTAGTATTTTCTATGTTCTCAAAGTTCTTACTTAATACAATCGTCGGATTGCCTCAACGAGCTGTCACTTGCCAAGATCGAGGATTTCTTTTTCTTTCTCCAGGTCGCCCCCCCAGTGGCAAAGCGGTATGTCTGCGGACTTACAACGCTAGAATTCGGGTTTCGATACTCGTGGTGGGCAGAGCACAGATAGCCCTTGTGTAGCTTTGTGCATAAACAAAAACAAACAAACAAACAAACAAACTTTCTCCAGAAGGAAGTAATTTTGTGAAAAACAAAACTAAAACTAACGTGTTTTAGAATAGTTTCTCATGGTCTAATAAGATTTAGAAAGCATTAGTTTGACACGAAAAGTTCACGAGTTTTATACAACGTTCTGCAACAACATGGCATAAATGTAAAAATATATAACTGTACAATATTTCTGAAAAAAAAAACTAACGTGTTTTAGAACAGTTGCTCATGGTCTAATAAGATTTAGAAAGCATTAGTTTGACACGAAAAGTTCACGAGTTTTATACAACGTTCTGCAACAACATGGCATAAATGTAAAAAAATATATATATATAACTGTACAATATTTCTGAAAAAAACAACTAACGTGTTTTAGAATAGTTGCTCATGGTCTAATAAGATTTAGAAAGCATTAGTT